ATTTGCAATGCAAAAGTCAAATTCGCTACGCGATAGTCAAATTCGCTACGCGATAGTCAAATTTGCTATGCGATAGTCAAATTTGCAACGCTTATTTCGCGTTGCAAATTTGAATTTCGCGTTGATCGTAACATACAACATCAAGGTATATACAACATCAAACACATTCGAAGCTATAAATACAAGCTAAGGACACTTGAAGAAGCAATAGAACAACTATTCAAGCAATCAAACACAAGAGAAAATCCCAACATGATAACAACTGAACAGATCATATCAATGTTCAAACTCAAGTTACTAATGAATGTCTAACTAAAAATGTATGCATTCACACATAAAATACACATAATACAATATTTGCATTTTAAAATCACCTAAGTTAATAAGTCCCAAAAGGTGAAGCCGGTTGTGATTAAGATTTTGATTTTGATTTCCTTTTGCTTGGCACCATATGAGCTTTGGATTTTAATGAGGGTCCATTTTTTAGTAGAGGAAAAGATGATTGTGATGGCACTGGTGATCCACAGGTCAACCTTGTATGACCACTCTCCTTGCACCGACTACATGTCGATATCCTCTTCTCTTCACCCTTAGATGGTATACGATCGTGATTTTTTGGTCGGCCAGGTAGCATGCTGTCCATGACTGGTGGCAAAATTGTTTGTAAGTCATCTGGTATGTCCTACTTAGAAGGATGTGGACATGGGTAGACAATCTCGGCATAAGTCTGTCGATATACTTCTGTAGTGTAGCAATTCATAGCGTATGTGCTTGAATCATCTTGGTTTAGATGAAGAGCAACTTTTATAACATGGCCACACGGATAACCAGATGTTTGCCATTTCTTACAACTACACGTCTTTGCATTTAGATCGACAAGCCCATTTAAATTATTATCCAATACTTCAAACAAAGTGTTTGAACAAGGTTCAACTCTCCAGGACGTTGACTTCACAACACGTTTCGTTATCTTTTTTTCAATCCATGGTGTAACACGACGTTCCAATGTTCCTGTAAATTTAAATAAATAATACTTAGTAAAATATATGATAAGTTACGAATTTAAAGAAATAATACCTGCATGGTTTATTTTCTTGTAGTACCACTGTTGAAAAGAGGCTCGAAAAAACTCCATTAACATAATAAAGGGTAATTTCTGGGAATGACGACTTAGAGCGTTGATTGATTCTGCACTATTAGACGTCATGAAACCATATCTTGCTCCAAGTTGATGTACTCTTGACCATCTTTCAAACCCGACATCTTCTAGTGTTTGAGCACACTGAGGCAAAGCACGTCTTAAACAGTTTATATGCTTATTGAAATCCACTTCCCGATAAGCTTTTACAGCCTTCCAGTATGTCCATTTGTGATTTTTTATACCAGCAGGCCTTGATTTTAGATTTCTATACAAATGAACACCACAAAGTCCATGAAAAGCATCTGGGAAACACCTTCTAACAGTGTTGTCAATTGAGTTTGCCCTATCGGATATGATTGTCAGATTGCTAATAGGACCTATGCAATCCCTAAGATGCCCCATAAACCATATCCATGAATCAGAGGTTTCAGATTTGCCAACCCCATAAGCTATTGGCAGTATCCCATTGTTAGCATCCATGGCTACTGCTAATAAGTTTACTCCAAGGTATCGACCTTTCAAATGTGCTCCATCAACTATAATAATTGGGCGCATGCAAGTAATAAACGAACAAATCTACAAAATCATATACACAAGAAATATAATCATTTAAATGTGAAATGCATGCAACTAACAAAAATGAGTCAACAAAATTATAATTATTTACTAACCGCAGAACCAATGGCGATAAACAATAACTCAAAGCGTCCATCTCTATCTGTTTTGATATGAGTTACCAACCCAGGGTTTTTCAGCTTTAAATTGTGACAATAAGCCGGTAGTTGGGCAAACGATGATTCTGGCGACCCCCTCAATAATTCCAAGGCATAACATTTGGCTCTCTAAGCTTGAGAATATGAGATACTAATCTTGAACCGAGCATTCATGTCAGTCATAATTTCATGTCCCCGATATACCCTTCCATTCAAAAACATTAACTCAGCCAGAAAACCACCCAACACCTTTTTGTTTGCCTGTCTATGGTGAGGAAAAACTTGGGTTCTTGAACATGTATGTTTATCAATAAAAGTCCTAACTTGAAACATTTCACAATCTTTTATCCTCTTAGCAATCATACACCACATACAGTTTTTGTCAATCATACACCTTGTTTCGAAACGATCTTTGCTTGATTTGTTAACTCTTATTTGATAGACATCTTCCACACATTTCGTATACAAAGCTATCTTCAAGTCTTCCTTTGTATCAAAACAATCATCTTTCTTGATACGAATAACTTTTGTGTAACAATCAACTGATATCTTTACAAACTCTTCTTCCGGTATCTGAAGTAATTCTGGCATATTTCAGTTATACTCCCGTGGCATTTTCTTTTTTTTCCTTTCTTCGGGGACTTCTTCTTCTTCTTTTTCTTCTTTAGGGTTATATGAATTACAGAATGGATGTTCAACATGTTCATTCACAGTCGTAACTTCCTCCTCATTATCATCAACAACATCTTCCTCGGCAGCGGCTATTTTATCATCAAAATTCGGATTTTGACCAATATCAGAATCATTACATGCAGGGTTTGTTTCTTCTTCCATCACATCATCAAAATCTAAGTATTGACCAAGATCAAAGTCCGGGTATTGACCAAGATCAAATTTCAAATACTGACTAGTACTCACAATTTTTTCAGTTGGCTCATAATCGTCTAACTGGTCAATACGAAAACCAGAATTTGGTGCTAAAAGTTGATTGTGATTTGGATTAGGAAAAGGTTGTGGGTTTTGAGATTGTGTTTAATATTGTGTTTGGTATTGGAAATGTGGTGAAACAAAATTTGCTTGGTGATGAAATTGTGGTGGAACCATTAAATTTTGGGTTGAAGAACTTAGTTGATTACTCCCCGCTACTGACCCAACTTCACTACTTATAGGTTCAACAACATATAATGTAACCTCAACTTCTTGCGAAACACTAATGTAAGCAATGAATCGTTCAATATCTTCATTGTCAGTTAACAAATAAACTTTACCTTTTCTCATATAAGATAGCCTAAATCCACTTAGAGGCTCTAAATTCATTTTCTTTGCAACACGTAACATTAGAGTTTCATAAGTTAACTTTTTTAATGACAGTTTTAGTTGAAGATTCATGGGTAAAGGCACATATTGTAAAACACCATGAACATTCTCCCATGACCCTCCAAAACACAAATATATCCAAACATGATCAACATTAGATGATTTCATTCTACAAATTGTAAATTAATTTACTAAACAAACCAGCTATAAACTAGATATCATCACTAACTTAGAGAAAAACATACCTTTATTAAGTTGATAGTTGATAATTTGGGATAGAAATCATTAAAAAATTATATAGAAATAAAATTATGTAAAAAAATAGAGACGGGGAAGGATGTCATTGGATATAGGAACGGATGTCGCCGGATAGAGTGATAGATGGAGATGGAATGAGTTGTGATTTAGGGATTTAGGTTATGAGTTGTTGATGCTGCGTTGTTATATACCCAAAACATTTGTGTTGAGAAACTAAAACATGTTGCGAATTTGAAAATCAGTTGCAAATTTGAAATTCAGTTGCGAATTTAACTTCCGCGTTGCGAATTTGACTATCGCGTTGCGAATTTGGAATATTGTAACGCGAATTTGGAAAATCGCAATGCGATTTACATATTCACGTTGCGAAATTGGAAACTAGGTTGCGAAATTGGAGATCGCGTTGCGAATTTGATGGTCATTTTGGCAAATCCAAAAAAAAAAGGTTAAATTCGTATATTATAAGGTATTTTTGGTCACTGAGGTTATTTTCTCTATTAAATATTTATATTTTATTGATTAATTAAAAAGATGCATTTTAATTCATATTATTGGAATGTGAATATGAAGAGATATGATTTACATGAAAAGATATGATGTTGAACGAAAAGATATAATCTCCTAATTATAAAATATTGTTTTGTTAAGTCTCATATTATTAAAAATTATAAAATGATCATTCAATTATTCATTATGTATTAAAGTTACATTTTTCAATAAAAATTAAAGGCGGTCAGAGTTGGACATTAACTTGCTAATTGATATATGATAAAATATGTTCTCATAATATCAAACGATTATCGTATCTTAGTTAGTATGTAAAAATTCAGCTCATACGATCTTTAGTTATTTAACAAAAAAAGACGAGTTTGGAACATAATGAATAGTCATGTGATCATTTTATAACTTTTAATAGTTGAGAGACTCAACAAAGTAATTATCTATAATCTATAAACTATTTTGTAACTTTAATAGTCAGGAGACTTAACAAAGGAGTATCTTATAGTCAAGGGACTATTGTGTACTTTACCCTAAATTTTTTATCAAAAAGTTTTCAAATACTAAAAGGTAAAAGTAGGAAAAACCAAACTTTTCTTACTAAGTTAATTTCAACAAAATTTTCTTAAAAATCCAATTCGATGAATCAATATATGTTTTTCTTAATTATTTATTCTAAGAATAAAATTTATAATGTTTCAAGTTCTTGAAGTTGTACATATAATTATTTTTGCATTAATTAAATAGTTTTAATAAAATAAATATTTTATTTTATAAAAAAATTTAAAATAATATTAAACATTTTTTATTAGCAATATTAAGCATTTTTTATTAATAAAATATTTAAATTAAAAACTTTTGAGTATTTTTCATGCCAACCAAAGTGTCTCTAAGTTGTTATTGGGGCTTTAAATCGGAGATTCAGTGAATCCGACCCGACCCACTCCATTTGCGTACCAAAAAGAAAGGCATATATTCCGCCAAAAAACAGATGAAAAAGTAAACACGACAAACAAACTGTGTGAGCAACACCCTCAAGGCTTAAAAAATCCGACATCGAGTTGCCTCTGCAGCTTATAATGGCGAAATCCAGACAATGTTTGACTCTGTGGAAACCTCTGGAACTGCCCAAAATCCAATATTCAATTTCTTACGTTCCTGGACCCTCGCTTTTTTCACGCTCTATGCATTTAAAGTTACTCTCTTTGGATCTCTCCCTCTGTTAGTTTTCCCCCTTTGCGTACCATTTAAAAAGAATTTCTAATTTTGCACTTCTCACGTCTTTTGCATGTTCCTTTGCCTCCCTCGCTTGATTCTCTCCTTCATTTCCAACGCGTTTGATTGGCTTCTCATCATCTCAAATTTTCTTTTCTTTTCTATAATTCTCAGGGGTTTGCTTTATAATTTGTTGCCAAGTGAAGTGAGAGGATACTGAATTCAAGCTTGAAGGGAACCAATCAAATTGGTAACTTGTTCAAATTCTTGGGTTATGTTTAAATTTTTCATTTTGTTTTTTGCTTGCCAAATGTTTTATAAAATCTTGGTATTGCTCCAAGGGTTAAATGAAAACGTTTATTCTATTGCGGAGAGGGTTTGTTAGTTGAATTGACCATATTGGCTTAAATTTCCCATAGTGGCAAGTTTTTTTTTCTTCTTTTTTTCCTATATGAGCTTTGGGAAGGTAAAAAATAGAGTGGCAAAAGCAGAGGGAACTTCTTGTTTCTCAATTATGTACCTCAATACTGATAGAGACAGCAATACAATTTGCTACAAGAGCTTCGTTGAAGTTGCAGCAACTTACTAATTTTGGGGGCCTTTAACTTACTTTTCTACAAGCTTCTTTTCATGCTTATAAATTAGAATTATTTCACTTCATTGGCAATTTGGAGCTGATCATTCCAATTCTCATGTTTCTTTTCAAAAAAAAAAAATTCTTTCCTCACATGCAGGTTATTGATATGTCGAATATCAAGTTAGATGAGGTTGTCTGCCGTGATTCTGAGGAAACAGAAATAAGTTTTTGGAAGGGGAAAGTGATATCAGATGAAAAGGTTAATCGAGTATTCGAGATCCTAAATACTATCCATAAGGAAGGGCAGAGGTCACTTAGCGATATCACCGCAAATGTTGCGAATGGAACTAGGAATGATAGGTATTACCAAAATGTTTCAACTTGTAATGGTTTAATATTCATTCATCTCTAAACTTCTATCTTTTGGAACTGTACTTAATCGTAATGCACGTTTATTTTGTTAATTGGATTTTGATATGAATCTGAAGTGAAGAAATTGGCTTGATTCAGAAGAGTTGATAACCAAAGTTGATGCACTCCTTGTTTTATTGTTTTTGAATTCTTTTAAGGCTTAATGTAAAAATAAGTGTCTAAACTAAAAAGAATTAAAAAAAATCCCCCGGGTCCCTTTCCTCCCTTTGGCTGCTTCACCGGCCAGTAGGCAGTGTGGGATTTCGGCTGGTCAACCATATGGGGGTTTTGACCCGCGCTAACGACGCTGGTGGTGGCCGGCGGCCGGAAAGATTAGATTTTAGGGTTTGAGTATTTAGGATTTGGGAATTTTGAGTTCTTTTTGTAAAATTAGAAAAAATGAGGTTTTTTTAAATAATAATATTTTTATTTTTAAAAAAAATATATAAGCATGACACGTGTCACTTAACGATTTGTTTAACGGCTATTACGGCGTAGACACCTAAAACAGTAACGCTAGAAACATTAGGCACCTATATTTAGCAAAAAATTCTTTAGGGTAACTTTTTGTGTAGTTTAGACACTTATTTTTTGTATTAAGCCTTCTTTTAGAATCAAATAAACTCTGTTTGAAAAAAAGTTATGATCTGGAAATTGATCTGTTGCTTTTTATTTAAAAATTTGAGTTTCTGGAGTCTCCTAGTGTATGTGCAGTACCAAACTACTAATGATTTTTTCTACATTCATGATGCATGAAGTAATATGATCATTTTACCACTTTAAAAGTAGACTTTTTTCTGTTCGATTTGATGTATATATCACTATTACATCAGGTTATTTAAAGGGAATGAAAAACATGCACATGTAGTTGGAAGAAGATCTGGACCTCTCATATCCGGAACAGCCTACTGCATTTCCTCGTGCAGCATGATATTGCTGAATAAAGTTGTTCTCTCAAGTTATAACTTCGATGGAGGAATATCATTGATGTTTTATCAAGTATGTAACTGCATCTCGGTAGTTTAATAGCATTTAAATTATGCAAAAATGTCCTGTCATGAGAACCTTAAAATATTGTCAGAGTGTAAGTTCTCTTTTTGCTGTATTGCACTGCAGAATCTGATAGCTTGTCTAGTTGTTGCCATATTGGGTCTATGTCGAGCAGTTTCGATCGAAAAGCTCAACTGGAAGTTGATCAGGCTTTGGATCCCTGTAAATATAATCTTCGTTGGCATGCTTGTATCGGGAATGTATAGGTATGTTATAGGCTGCCTCTAGCATACTCCTCTTAAATTATTTACACAAAAAATGAAGAGAAGTGGAGTCCTAAATATACATTTTTTGTTTTCCATTACAGTTTGAAATACATAAATATAGCAATGGTTACCATTCTGAAGAACGTGACAAATATTTTAACAGCAATCGGAGAATATTATGTTTTTCGAAAACGTCAAAATGTGAAAGTCTGGACAGCCATGTTTATGATGGTAAAGTTACTCCTAAATGACCTCCATCGGACTCTTGAGTGCAAGTCAAAACTCTTCCATAAAGATAAACTCTCTTATAATTGATGAATGTAAATTTTCCCTTTAGTCTGAAATTTTACAGAGATTTATGCGTCATTGTGCTGCAGATTATCTCTGCTGTCAGTGGTGGTATTACAGATCTCTCATTCGATGCCACAGGGTATACTTGGCAGATTTTAAATTGCATCTTAACAGCTGGCTACTCGGTATGCCTTGAATATATTCATTATTTAGTCAACTCATGATTTCGAGATCTCTAATTTCTAGCTTAGACTATGGAAACCATGGTTTTTGTGCAAATCTATTTGCACTTCTATGATTATCTAATGAGCCACATTTGCAAATTGTGACAGCTTACTCTGCGGCTAGTCATGGATAAAGCTAAGCAGGCAACCAAATCAGGGTCACTTAATAAAGTGTCCATGGTTTTGCTGAACAATTTGTTGTCTCTACCCTTTGCCATCTTCTTGATTTTTGTTTTGAACGAATGGGACTATGTAATAAACACGTGTGTAAACACCTTAACTTACAGTTTGTCACGGTTACATAAGTTTCCCATCATGCAAGTATCATCATCCACACCCTGACTAATGCAGTTTTGGTTTTCAGTTCTGTGATTAGATTGCCAATGTTTTGGGTTGTCGCAACAGCTAGTGGGTTGCTTGGTCTTGCCATTAGCTTCACTTCCATGTGGTTTTTACATCAAACTGGACCAACCACTTACAGGTATTCGCTTTTGTGTTACTTTACAAGTAATGCTTGATACAAAGTACATTATGTCTTCCAAATTACTTGGGTAGTCGTAATATAATAGTCTCCAGTTCCTCCACTTGCACACTACTTTAATCTTCAATTACTAATCGTGCGGTGTATCCTTTGTTTACGCTCGAATATGACAAACAGTGACATCGTATCCTTGTTTTACAGCCTTGTAGGTTCCTTGAACAAGGTTCCCATCTCTTTAGCAGGACTTGTGTTGTTCAAAGTTCCACTCAGTGTACCAAACCTGTTCAGCATACTTTTCGGTAATGAAACGAATCGACTCTGCATTTACTATGAACAAAATCTTAGATTCTTATCTTACATCAATCGATGCATACTTCTTCCAGGTTTATTTGCCGGAATATTCTTTGCCAGAGCCCAAATGTCATGATCCAAGAACACCCCATTGTCCGAATGAGATCAAGCAAACATGGCTTCTCTCCTTTTGTAAGGATATACATACATTAAAAGTTTGTAGGAAACAAAATTTGATTGCAATCTCAAAGGAGTAAACATATATACTTCATATACACAACTCGGAAAGGTCATTAGTTAATACAATAACTGTCATGTTCATTGTTTAGGGCATGTTTTTCAAATTTTTATTTTCTTTTTGAGGAGATAACCAAGAGAAAATACTATATATACATATGTAGGAATTATATGGAGTTTCCCTTGTAACTTTATTATTTTTCCTAATAACATCTTTCTTCTTTCCCTCACCATTTGATATTTTCCACTGTTTTGGACATACAAAGCCAAGCAAAAGAGAGAGGCTGCCTGTTTGTTTGTTTGATTCTCTACATTAGTAAAATGGTTCAATTTTTAAGCCTTTTAATTCCAGAATATTTTAGTTTTATTTTGATTTGTACAGGGGAGAAGCTGGAAATCCATTTTAAGGCCAGAATATTAGCATTAATTGATTTGGGTGGATGATGATTTTAGCAGAGAATAACAAAGAAACGACAACAACAACATTACAGTCTCGGCCTCTTTAATGTAAAGATTTGCATGTGAAATGGGCATGGCCTTAAATCTTCACTTCAAATCAATACCAAATGGCTTGTCAATTTCTCATACTTTTTGGAGCTTCCATTTGTTTCTTTAATGGTACCATTGCTCGCTTTAGATCAACCACCATCTTCTACTGTTACAACTATTTATTTCTACCTGCATCGATTTGATTTTAATATCAAATCAATCTTAATTTAATTAATTTGAATTTTAAAATTTTCGTATCATTTAGAGTCGTGTCTGTTTCATACTTAAATCATTCTGGATTTAATTATTTTAGATTCATATCATAATTTTTTGTCACTTTCAGTTATTTTAAGATCAGATGTTTCGGATTAAGTCATTGTAGGATCACATCAAATTTAGTTAAAGGGAATTTGAATTTAGATCAAATAAATTTAAAATTCATGTTATGAGATGCAATGAATTTTATATGTTTGTGTTCTTTATAATCCATGCATTAGTGAATTAATTGTTTCTCTCATTTGTGGAGTAGATAAAATCGAATCATGTTAAATTTTATTTCTTGTATGTGATCTTATTTTATGTTTATCTTGATTTGATTACCTTTTCGCTTACAAATTCTTAGTAAGTACAAAAAAAAATCACAAACAAAAGAGAGAATTCAATATAATATCGAAATTACAAGGATTTCCGGCTATAAGATCTCATATGAATTTTAAAATATAGCAATCCTTATTATTTATTACAGAGTTTTTTTTATTTACTCAGCAATAATAATTATATTAGAGAATCAAAAAACTTTAATTAGAGGAGAATGCCTCATTAAGCATCACCTTAAATTTAGATGGAGAAAAAAAATACACTCTCCCCTACAATTACAAAGATATAACTCCAAGATAGACAACTCCATAACTAAACAACCCAAAAACCACAGCCAGACTAGGAAACCATATCACCTAATAAACTTAACAACTCCCCAGCAATTACAGAATTAATTACTTGATGAAAAAAAAATATAAAATATTACAACGAGCCTTTAAGTGAGAATTCTTACTTTAAGTTAAAAATTAACCGAAGAAATATATTTATTTGTATATTAAATATACGATGAGATTCTTATTGCATGACTTTACCCCTCTTTTTCCTTTCATTAAACGGGTTTTATATTAACTCTTGAGACTAAATTAAAATAAAATTTATAACACAAAACCTTTAATGATTTTTAATTTAAGATAAACTCAAATTATAAATAATTTGATGGAATTCTTAAAGTTTAAATAAGAATGGGCAAGTATGATAATGAAACTATTCAACGGCAGTAATGCCTTTAATATATAGTAAAGATCTATTCAAACTATTCAACAACGGACCCATTTCACAGTGTGAAAGATCTCTAATTACACAAAAGGAGTTGTTCCATGGCATTGGGTTTATAATTGCAAAACAAAAAAAAACAAAGATATATTCTAACAAAGGGAAGGTACGCAAAATCAAAAGGAAAAGCATCTGAAAATAAAATATGTGGCCGAAACATAATGCCCACTCATCTCTGATTGCACCATAAAAGGACAGCACGCTTGATTTTTGTACACTCAAATTCAACTTTTTTGAAACCTGTAAATTTGAAAATGATTCTTATAGTGACCAGAATGAAACACTGATCCCAATTGGTCATGTGGTTTGGGGTGATCCCAAAAAAATGAAAAACAAGACCAATAATTTCGAGATGTGAAAAATATCTCAAGAAATAAGAAAGCTTCGTCTTTATTGAATAAAATATAATATCAAAATTCGACCTCAGTAATTATTTCCAATTACATTAAATCAATTTTGGATTTGGATTAATCATGTGTTTTGGGATCAAAGATTGAGAAATCAGCCCCAAAATATCATCTATCGGATCCCTGAGGGCACCGCCCAGTGCTAAACAAGTCGCTAACTTTGCCTGTATTTTCCGGAATTCTTCACGTGCGTCCTGATTCCATGCACCTCAAATCAACCACCTGTCCCGAACCTGCCTCGTCATTCGCCAACCCTTGCGACCAGATGTTTACGCCTAGTTAAAAGAATAACAAGCTTCAAACACATGCCCCTTTCTTTTTCTCCGAGTAACTTCAATTTCATTCATGCCTAAACCTGGATTATCCGATTAACTAAGAAAACATAGTAAGTGAAAATAAAATTTATGAAGATGAAAAACTTTAATTTTCTTATTTTATAAACAAAATTAGGGAACAAAGGGTTTTGTCTAAAATTTCAAGCTTCTTCCGGGGAGGCAAGAGGGAAACAAGTGTCTTCCCCGCCGGTATTCCACAGGAAATGAGCATAATTGGCGGCGTAATAAGAGTTGGTAGGATCTGCCGATATGGCTTCCAAGAAAGTTTCCTCCGCCGCCCACAAATCATTCCTCGCTTTCCATAAAAAGCTCGCGTATTTACTGTATGCTTCCGCATCCGCTGGCTCCACCCCTATTGCTTTCTTGAAGTACTCTTCCGCTCTGTGTTTTTTCAAACCAACAAAACCTCCTTTAGTCAAAACTTAACCCACGCATGCTGTTGCAAAAATTCAACAACTAGAGGGCTCTTCATGCCATCACGTTTTTAAAAAACGATATTTACAATTTTGCCATTTCAACCTTATGATCCACACATTCACCCATATTTTAATATAGTAGGACTAGGAGGACCAAAATGAAATTTGGACCTAAATTATTTCAAGGAACAAAATGCCAAAGAAATATATATTATTGCAATTTCTGATTCAGCTGCTCTGTGCTCGAGTCGGTTCGATTTCATCTTGAATCTCGACGCCCGATTAGTTTAAAAACTATAAATTTGGGGGTATTAAGTTATTAATTATAGTGAAATTGATTGACTAGATGACAAAGATTATGTACCTGTCGTAATCATGTGCAACAAGGTAGAGAAACTGAGCATAATTGGAGAGGAAGACTGCGTTATTAGGCTCTTGTGACAATTCCATTTGATAAAGCAGCTCCGTTCTGAAATAGTCTTCATAATCACCGTCCGGTTCGATCATTGCTGTCACCGGCGAAACAAATCTCCCGACTGTTTCATGATCCAGCGTTTCATCTCTCACAGAAGCTAGCATTTTCGAAGCTTCATCGACCATGGAGTTCCAAAGAGTGAGTTCTTCTCTGCTTCCCTCCATCGTTGAAGCTCTCTCTGTGTCCCCTGTTGTTCCTAGAGATGATAACTGGGATGCACCATCGGGAAAGATGGTACTGAATTCGCCTGCTTTGTTAATCCATCCATCGCCTTCTGTTCCGCTGGCGACCGGCCGGACTTTTCCGCCTCCACCACTGTTTCCGCCGATTGAAGCGGTTTTACCATTCGATGACAATAGCGAAAACGACTTTATCGACGAAGAATCTAACTTGGAATACTTCTGATCTTGGACATCAACCATGGAAGCATAAGTCCCCGTTGTCGGATTCGCCGCGGCGGCAAGAGCGGCGTTGCTTCCCATGGAATGAACTGAATAGTTGGCTAACATGATCATCACGTAAACCATTAAAGTGGGTGTACGAGAAAAAACCTGTTGAAACAACCAAACGAACGAAGCGTGCATCTCTTTTTGAACTCCAACGAGAATCCCTTGTAAATCCTCGTAATACAAAAGTTCTCGCATATGCAAAGTGTAACTATGAAGCTCCCGGATTATGAAAACCATCGAAGAAAACGCCTTTTTCATTGAACAATAAGCTGATTCCCCAGCCTCTCGAAACTCTTCTGGCCGTTGTAATTTCCTCTTAATCATTCGCAGCGAAAGTGGAAGATTCACGCTGTTGGCTTTACGTTCTATGCTCGATGAGGTCATTTCTTCCCCTCTTCCCACCCACAATGATTGTTCGTTGAAACCCAAAGATTCCAGTACGGAATCGGAAACGGTTTCACTTTCCCGTTCGGAATCTGGATCGTTTCCGTTACTTGTGCTGCTAGTGGTTCCATCATTGTCCGATAACTGAAATCGGAGTACCAATTCTTGAATTTTTTTTGAAAATTCTTCATCGGAGCAATCTAAGCTTGCGCTGCAGGCTCGTCGTAAAGTTCCGGATCTAGGTTTCTCCTGGAACCGTTGGATGTTGGTGGAGTTTGAACCGAAGAGAGCCGAACGGCTGGGTATTTGAACGGTCTTGAGATTAACAACGCCGCCGCAACGGCACCGCCTCGGAAGGGAAGGCGAAGAGATTGCCGAAGCTAAAGCTTGGGAAGAAGATGGTGGCTGAGGCCATTGTAAACTCGCCGCCACTGCCGCAACTTTCACTACCATTGACGAAGCTTTTGAAAAGCTTGCAGGGGAAAGATAAAATTTTCTATTTCAGATTGGATTCTCCACGGTAAGCTTTATCGTTAACAAGAACCTGAAGATTTATTAAAAAGTGAAAACAATATTTCTTAGAAATCAAACTCACCTGAAACTGAAAAAACAATTCCCATAAATAAATAAATAATTCCTCAAACTGGGATCTATAAAACCACAATTACTAGCATGAAAATCGGATCTCGAAGCTCGAAAACAGTGAAATTCGAGATTTCCTAATAAATTATTAAACAATTCTTCATTACTTTAATGAAAATAACTTACTTAGGTCTCCTTTTAGTACGGGCTTCGGTAAAAAAAGAAGAAGAAAATATATATTTCAGCTTTCCGATTATTAGCTCCGGCGAAGCTTGGAATGGAAGCTTATGGGAGGAGAAAGGGAACTTCAAGCGCTCCTTACATATACCACAGGCACAACTCTTTGATATCTTACCAATAAAATGTATTGAGTAAAATAAACATGTAATTTTATACAAGAAAAATATCTAACCGGCTAAGCCGGTTAAACCAGCGTAAAGAGTTCTGGCCTACGGACAGAAACCACAATCTGTTCGATGGGGATATCCGGTCATGAGTTGCTTAAGTTTATTCTAGAAAAATCATACACATATTACTCCTGTATTTCTTCAGAATTTTTCTTTAAATTATTTACACAAAAAATATTACGTATTTTTATAATATTTATTCTTTTACTTATTGTTTTAAATTCATATGGTAGAGATATAATTAAGGTGAAGTTAATAAATTCTTATTTTCGTATAGAATGAAGTTTGTTGGATTCAATATGAATGCCTTACTACTTGAGTTTTTGACGGCGTAGTTTGTTTGTTTTTTTTCGGATAATACAAATGGATTTATAAAAATAAGTTCTTAAAATATAATTTTTCATCTTTAGATGGCATCACTCTCATATTCTCTTTGAATTTTCAGCTTGAAAATAAACAATTCAATGAATCATTGACCATTCTTAATTACTTGGAACAAGTTGAACAAAGTCGAAAACTCTACCCAATATTGTGGAGATGGATTGATCGGGGCTTTTTATTTGTGGCACGTGTCCAACCCATCACCGCCGGTTATGAAGTTTTGGTTTCGTAAATATCAAGGAAACCGTGATAATTTCATCGACCTTTCACCGTGACCTTCTAACCACTTGTCTCTTTTCTTTTCCTTTTTGATATTAAAAAAATGTCTGTTTTATGTAGTTTCGTTCATGGAATTTAAACATTTTTTATTTGGCTTTGATTTTATATATTAGTTTTAAAACTTAAATCATTGAGAATGTTTTCTAATAAACAATATTTCAACTCGAATTTTAAAAATTATATCTTAAATTCTATTTAAATGACGATGATCATCGATTTTAACTAACGTGATTTAATAAATTATTGTAAGTTAAAAAAGAATAAATCCTTTAAGTATCAATATATTTTATTAATATAAGTTATTTTACCTCAACGACATATTTTTGTGTTTATTTATCAAATTAACACCCTTACTCTACAACTTACAAAAAATACTATTATTTGATAAAAACATATCTCACCAATACGTGTTTTCAGATAATTTAGAAAAATAAAAAATCATGTTTTGAAGTGTAAATTTAGTGTTTTAAGTTTTAGGGTTTAGGATTTATTCATATCATATTGTACTGAGTATTACTATCTAAGGTTTAATGTTGATATCTCATTTTGTTGTTAAAAGAAATATTATTTGTTTAGAATTCTCATATCCGAGCAATAGCATTTATAGAGGATATACACATTATCAATAGTAAAAAATATATATGTACAAATATTATATTACGATCGTTTTAGATTATTAAAATGTATTTAAAAAACATTGAATTGGGTATATGGGTGGGATGTGTTACTCAACCATGAATATCGATATTCATGGTCAATTAACTTTGTTGTTTAGTCCTATGACTTGAATAATTACATATATATACCCTGATAGATAAATTGTTTGCATATATGTCCTTATGTTTTGTACGAGTGATCATAATTATGATATACATATGTAATTATTAAAGTCTATGCAAAATTATCTGATCAAATAAAGGGTGTTAAGAGTTATGGATGGAAACGGGTTGGGTTGGGTCGGGTTTTTGGTCAACCCGATTTGACCCGAAAAATATATAAATATTCCATATGGATTTGATCCGACCTGAAAAATATATACATTCCACCCAACTCGACCCACCCGAAAATTTTATCTCTCACCCGATTTTGATCCGACCCAAATTTTTAGAGTACAAATCGAACCCTACCCAATCTGACCAGATATAAAATAAGGTCTTAATTAAAAAATAATCGAGAGATGTTTTATTATGACAATTATCCATAAATTTATTTGAAGAAACTACAATATTACCTCAGGTTATGTCGGAGTTTTTTTACCCTCCACCTTACCCGATCCAAACTCGATTTTTTTTAAATCCTATCATATTAGATTAAAGCAAAATTCGTTTGTTTCAAGTTAAATTGTCATCCTAATTAGAGCATATTTTTATCTAACCAATGAAATTATATTATTTCTATAAATAATTAATTAGAGATGTCAAGACAATAAATAAAGATTAAAAATGTTATTACGTAAAAAAAGCTATTTAAAGTTTATTAGAGATGTCAAAACTCGATTATTACATGTGTGACAAAGATTTTTTATTTTATTTATTTTAAATATATGTTATATCTTTCACTAATCTATAAAGTTAATAACGTACTTTAAATAAAATTATCATATTTAAAGTTTATTTATATAGGATTTTACGACGAGGGAGTAAGATTTATAAAATTTTAGAAATGAATGAACTAATAAAATTTTAAAAAGACGAAAATATATTACAAATAAAAAATAAAAAAATAAAATAAAATATAAGATAATTAAAAAAATTGGGAACGATTGTTCATCCATCTCTCCTTCCATCCTATACTCATGTGCAAATTATAAGTGTAGAGTTTAAACCTTTATATTTAAAAGTTTCGATGGGAAGCAACTGAATTCAACATTTTACTTATGAATTAACTTTATGTATTTTTTAAAATGAAATTCGACTTTGTTACTTGTAAATCAAACAAATGCCGTCAATTATAAATAAATATATCTATATTATATGATAATTTATAAATATAATGAATATATGGATACTTTTATATACCATAATTTATTTTAAAAAGTTTAAATATGTTAGAGTCTTGTATTAGTTTATAAGTAAAAATTTTTTTTACGTTTTATTCTTACGAAACTGATTTTTGTATTATATTTATTTGAAAATTTTAATCTCCTTTCAACTTTTATCCTATTTTATTATTAATTAATGATCTCACAACTAGAAGGTAAAATACATTTTTTACTCTGATACATTTATAATTTTTATCAATTTAAACATTAATTTTTCAAATAAAAAATTTTACTAATTGAACAATGCAATTTTCCAACCTCCAAATTTAAGACTTTTAAGGGTTAATAAAAAAGTATAAATGTATAATATTTAAAAAAATATTTTACTTTTTTATAAGTATAATATTAATAAGTAATGATAATATCAACGGCTGAAATTTTACTTATATTTGTGCCAATTGGACAAAAATAACCAGTGCCGGGGCAAATAGGATTTAATCCAATCCGATAGAGCAGCTTGCGTGGGATTACGTATCTCTTTCGCTTTCTTTACTTTACAGTCTCTACGATTTACGGTAGGTCTAATTTATGTACTACCCCTTGTTTCGGGTTTCCATGCATGATATTGCTACGTATTTTTTTATTTACAATTTTCTTTTGATATGCTTTGTTTATATCTCTAAACAATTAAAGACATATAACGACGGTCCAAAAATAGAAATATGAAATATCTTTGGGGGTAGAACCGACGGTCCAAAATGAAAAAAAAAAAAAGCTTAGGAAGGCAACTTGTTGCATGTTTACATCAGCAGAAAATAGGAAGGGCAAGCTGTTGCAGTTGACATGATAAGTTAAACGGCTGCAAATTTACTTGGAAAATCCCTGGACTGTTTAGATTGGTTTTCTTCGAAAAACGTCTTTTCTTTTTAAAAATAATATATAAAGTTTAGTCGTTTTCATTTTCTATTATACATTATTATCCTTTTATAGTATTCATATTGTATATAAAATTAATTTTATTTATTTATAATATTTATGTTTCATTAAAGAAATATTTAAGTGCGAGAATATCTAATATACCTTGAGTGGTCAAAATGATTTTGATCACAATTACAATCTAATTAATATGGAAGACCCATCTTTACTTACTATCATCAATTATCAATACAGACCAGTACTTGAAACCAATTAGAAATTTAAAAATACAGTTTACCGTACCAACAATTATTAAAATTTGATATCTCGGGACGGCCAAAAGTATAAAATTCAGTTCACTATGAAATCAACACTATGGTAGCTCAGAAACGTAACTGACAATTGGGTGTGTGCAATTCGTCAAAGCCGAGACACTAAAACCAAATTGCATATGAAAAGTTGCCAAAATCACTTTTTTTTTTGTTCCTAGTCGGAGTAATAAAATTGCAAGTTGGGTGTCTTTTAGGCGCAAAAGTTCAATCCATAAATAGTTGGAATAGGCAAAATATGTATAAATCACCGTTTGACGATTCATCAATTATGGAGGGGTTGAAAAGAATTCAACGTTTAGGTAAGGGTGTTTGAAGATAAAGGTTGAGGGACGCATGCGATGGAAATTGTATGTGTTATCCATATAATTAAGCAAAGGGTGAGAAATAGCTGCATTGATGAAGAATTGTCTATATCGTTGGAGACTTAATTGCTTGCATTAGGAGAAAGGGAATCTGGTTTCACATAATAGGGTTGAGTGGATATGGAATTAAGGACGTGTACGTCAGCCATGCCACGCCAATCTCCTTATCTCTTCATCTAATATAAAACATGGATCAATGTCTTCTTTCCCTCTCTTTTCTTCTCTAACTTTATCTTCTTTGTAAAACTTTCGGATATATCTCTTCATTTATCAAAGTCTTTAAAGAACTCACATCTTTCGGATATGATTGTTCAAGTTAACTACAATGCATAGATAAAACCTCTTATAGATTCATATGACATACCAAAATGAAATTTAATATTTGACTATCATATCTAATTAGCAATTAGTTTATAAATTATCATAATTATTATATGACTGACTCCACCAGTTAAGGTCACTATACATAACCCACATCAAAGACTGATAAGAGGGTCGAACATTCAACTATCTACGCACACTTTCTTTTTTCTTTTATGATTTTTTTCTTGTCAATTATAAGTTTTCGCTCAAACCAGAAAAAATAAATCTTCAACTACCGGCGAGATGAATTTGTTCCTATAAAGAACTGAGGGTTCCATTTTCCTTCTCTTGATATCTCTTGGTTTTCACTTTAGGCACAAAATA